GGCTCGGGCCGCTCAGCTCTGGCCCCGGGCCTGCGGGACAAGAGTGACATGGGCAGCTCTGGAGGGAAGGCAAGCCAGGCCCCCACCTGGCCTGCCTGCTGCCCGCCCCCCCCCAATGCCCAGCTTTGGGGACAACTAAACATCTCAAGAGAAGGGAAAAGGAGGGTAGGAAGGAGGATGATGAAGAGGGGGGAGGGGAGGAAAGGGGGGAAAAGAAAGGAGAGAGAAAGAAAAAGAGAACCTGGCATCCCTCCCAGAGGGAAATGGCATTCATTGATGAACACCGGCCAAACGGCCCAAAACTGACGCTTAGGTAACAAACTGATCATGGAATGGGCCCGCCAGCTTTTAATGTAGGCCTCAGTGGGTTTTTAAAAAGGATGGCAGATGCATTCGGCGTTCTGGAAAAGTAAGGGAGACACCCAACCATCAGATGCCATTTGGGTGTGGTCCCAAAACCACATTTTGCAGACTGCACAAGCCCCTTGCCTCCCAGTCAGGAATAGCCCTGCCGTTAGACTCGTGCTTCACAAACACAGACAGCAGCTCGCCGGGTCCCTAATGTGAACTGAAAGGGGCACACCTTCTTTAACGACCTAGAAAGTATATTTCAGGCTTAATCAGTGCATCAAGGAAACAAACTTTTTACTACATGTTAGAAGGTATTTCTCAGAACATTCAGTGTGAGGGGTGGGGGGAATCTGCTCATTCCACCTAATAAAAACTATCAACGATTTAAGAGAGCGTATTTCTCATGTTATCAGAAGAAAGGGATATGTAATCATTAAGGATATCAAAATGCACTTGGTACGTTAATATAAAGCAATCTTCTACATTAAACTTCATATGTTTAAACTGCTTGCTAGGTCTGGACCTAAAATAAATATTCCATCTCTCCTCCAGGTGAATGTTTACTTATTTCAAAATTATAAATAAGATTACTGATGCCACCAGAGGACTTAGTAAATTAAAAAAAAAATCTCAATAAGCAGATGCTAAAACCTCGCATAGGCGTGCATCCTTGCAAGTATTTTCTCTGTCCATTCTGTGAAAAATTAAAGTTATTAAATGGTAACAAAAATAATCATCTCTATACTTCAGAGCGACTTAATAATTAACCATACAAAGACATACATTATGAAAAATTAAGACATATTTATTCAATTTCCAGCAAATACCATTCAGAAACGGGCTCAAATAACAATGGAAGTATGGCCATGAGCAAACATTTTGACAGGAAGAATGTGAAGGATTAGAACAAACTGCTTAGGAAACTAGTGTGTGTGTGTGTGTGTGTGTGTGTGTGTGTGTGTGTGTCTGTGTGTGTGTGTGTGTGTGTGTGTAGCGTTACTGGTCTAAAAAACCCACTACCTTTAATGAAAAGAAAATCCAGGTCTTACTAAGGTAATATTGTACTAATTACCTTAAATTCAGTTCTCAACGTGTTTGTCCTCCTTTCAAAGTTTAAATAAGTCATCAATAAAATCCATAACAGAGCAATAGTACACATTTCACTTACTCTGGGCACCTTCTTCTTTATCATTATGGCTTGTATATGTCCATGTAGAAGTCTATGCCGACTCCTTGAGGTATACTTACTCATTCAAGTCACTATTTCTAAAACCACACAGTCAAAGGAAGTTATCCAGAGCATGTCTGATATCCCTGGTTCCGAATCTAGTAATTTTCAGCTTATGACTCTGAACTAGACCCGATACATACACGGCTAGCCTTCTTTAATCCATAAATACAGAGACATTCTTATCTGGTTGAAGAATCCTTAAAATTGAGGAGCAGAGAGAGACCCAAACATGGACCTAGGTAGTCCAACCTCCAATCTAAAACAACCTGCTGTGAACTAAACAGGTACATTTAAAGCAACCCGTATCTTTTCCAAAAGAACTGGTAAGTTGCACCTCTGGTGCCGTGTGAGCCTGAGAAAGTTCCTTAACCTCTGGTGCCTCAGTTTCCACTTCAGGAGAATAGGGACAGTAACAGTGCCTACCACAGAGAGAGGCAGTGAGGATTCAAGGAGACAATGGGGCTATGTGCTCAACCCTCAGCTCTGGTCATCACTGTCACCAAGGACACAAAGGTAAAGAAGTTAAATATTCAGCCTTTCAGAAAAACTCCATGGCCAAAGAAAGACTTTCCAGGAAATTTGGTTACCGTATTAGCTGGCCACTTTGAAAGTATGCTGTTCTAGAGCAAATTCCAAAAGGCTTCTATGTTTTAATAAAATTCAGCACAAATACTCAGATAGGTCGGCTTTCCAAGTGCTTCCTGCTAATTTTCTATCAGAGTCACTTACAAGCAAACTCTTTTCTAACTAAACACTGCAAGTTCCTTTACTGCGTGGGTCTGTTTTCTCCTCTCTCCAACAGATTATATAAAAACTTCTATTTAGAGAGGCTAGGGAACTGAATGCACCTCGCTGCAATTACACGTGCCGGAAGGCAACAATCTATCCACTAGGTGTTATGCCTGCCCCGGGGGTGCTGAGCTGCCTGACTGGATTTGCTCTCTTATCAACACAAAGCATCTTGACAACAGACACTCATGGTAGGCCTGATGATAAGAACTTGCCCCAACATCTTCAGATAGAAGACAAATTACATTCTTTAGCTTATCTCCTACTCCCTCTCCGACATAAACAATTTAGGTTTAATTGTCAGAGGTATGAAATGTTTCTGTTTTCCCCTCAGCCCTTGCCTTAGAAGTCAAGGTAGATCTATGCCCTGACACTCCTGAGGGGCGTCCCGCTGCGGTTAAGGAGGGGCTGGGGCTGTGGAGGTGTCTTTATTAGATGCCTGCTTTTAAGAGACAGGTAAACTAGCTCATTAAGTCTCACATGTACAGAATTTCTGCATTGAGCTCCCACTTCACCTTCTGGCACACAAGGATACTTATGCAAATAACAGTCTGTGCGTTAAATCTAAGAATCTGAGTGGCTGCCAGAGGTTGAAAAAATAAATGTAACACTGAAGTGTATTTAAACTGAGCAGACTAGAGACATTAGATAACTGGGGGAAAAAAGGTGGGGGGTCAGAGCAGGAGAGGGACAAGCCCTGAAAAAAGTCAACAATAAAACTTACTTTCTACCATGAAGTCCTTCCTACCCACCGCAAAGAAAAACCTGAAACTTTTTCAGTTCCTATTTTGAATTTGGCTTTGGCCTCTAAAAAGAAAAATGGATTGAAATTGAAAGAAAACGATGGGTTTGATTTGAGCGGAGCCCATGGCGGGGAAGAACTGAGGAGTCATTTGTTCAGGGAGCACTTCTTCCAGTCAGACTGGAATTCTCTGGTTGGCGGCTACGATGGTGTCACTTTGGGTGAATTGTAACTTTGGAGTAGGTTTGAGGCAGATCACTCCAGCCAAGAAAGATTCTCTGCACATGAATAACAGCAGCAAATGGGACAAATGAAAAACAGAATCACCGCTACCTCCAGAGAAGTAGGCAGACTTAATTTTTTCCTTAAATATCAGCAGAGGTATTTATAAGCAATTATGCTTCTTTATGGGGTGGGGGATACACAATGATTAATAAAAGTAACATTCATTTAGAAAAATTATTGTGCCTTCTTTTGACTTGGTCTAAATACCAATCCCCCCCCCCCAAAAAAGTCTTTGTCAAATCAGGTCATTGACGCCCTGTGAAATCAGACATTTGTGGACAAATTCAGCCACGGAGTCAGACACAATCTCCCTCCCAGAGCCAGGAATGGGTCTGCTCTACTGGAAGACAGTATCCTCTTCCCTCCTTATTCACAACGTCCTTGCCCACTCCAGCACTATCTGCCCAAATATTTTCATTTCTAATGAAGCCTGACTGCTGAAAATCCAAAAGACATGGGCAAAGAGTAATAGAATAAATTCCTCCAAATGACAGGAGCCTGGAAAGGACAACTGGAGCTAGGCAAAAAAAAAATGGAGCCCTCTTTTCTGGAGACGATCCCGAAAATGCGCTGAGGATTGTGCTGATTCTGAGAATGTGAAAGTTTTGTTATGTCCAAGTGTCCAGAGGGCTAAAACTTCATCCTTTAAGCTTGACTACTTCATCTGGTCTCATTATTTTGACTCTGTGTGAAAATGTTTCTCAAACAAATCATTCAGCTTCCTGCCTTCTTAAACAACACCTTGGAATCTTCCCCTGCTGCATCCTGTCATTTTTAAAAACACCAGTGCTCATGGAGGATGCACTGGTCAAGGGGATGTCCCAGGACAGGCTACAATGCACGGGCAAGTATGATTGTGTGACGAGGTCCCTCCCCGCTACCTTTTGGGAGGGACTGACTTTGCTCCCTCCTGCTTAAACTACCAACTATCTGATTGTTACCATTCAGTCTCTACTGGGAACGCTTTGAGTTACTGCTCCTCATGTACTACTGAGACACAGCACTGCAACACCACCAGCATTGCTGACACTGGGTCTAGAGCATGTGTTAAAAGGCTCGCAGGAAGGAGCTGAGATAATTTTCCTTTGTACACACAGGAGTGAAAGGCCTGAGACTGGTACACAGACCTTGGGACAGAGTCTCGCCCTGATCAAGAGCCTTCTGGTCATGAAGGAGCCAGCACGGGGAGGGGGTTAAGGACATGGGCTGTCCAGGCAGACCACTGGCGTCTGAATCCTGACTCTCCCCACTCTAGACGTACCACGTGTGCAAGGTACTCATCCCTGAGCACAGTGCACAAGGCAGGCTGGTAGGCATTCAGTAAGTATAAGTCACACACCTACACAGACATACATGCTTTTTCTTCTCTCTGGCTGCATTACTGAGAGCTGGAGTTTCTGCACTGAGCATCCAAACGACCATCTTATGCATGGTTTTCTTGTACAGCTTTTTCAGTCCCTGATGTCTGGTCCCCTGTGCTCCTCCACCTACCAGAGCACGGCGGTCCACAGACAGAAATCTGCAGATGACATGATACTTTCTTGCTCTTTAAAAACCTATTCCTAAGGCTACATCCACAATTAACAAGATGAGTTTATCCTTCAAGTGGGTAATTCTAAGAGCTTCCTCTACCAGAAAAGAACTATTTACATACTCGAAGGCAGACTATTTTAAAAAATACAAATAATAATATTTTAAAAATACAAATAATATTGTATTTTAAAAAATACAAATAAAATTACAAATAATTGGAATAGTTCCCAATTCTAGGAAGAGGACCAATATTGCAAACTAATGGCAACGATCAGCTGTCAGGGCTTGCCCAGATGAGAGTGAACCATTCCCAGGAAAGGGTGTCAATGACAAGGAAGCATTTTGGAATTCAGATTCCCTAGGATTCAAATTCTCCGGACTCCAAAGCTCTAGTTAGAAGAGAACCATAAACACTTCGCTTATCCAGTTGCTAACAAAACCCTTCCCAGAGAAAAGAACGTTCACGCAAGGTCATCTTACAGCCCCCTGGAGCTCTGAATTTTGTCACTGGGATCAAGTCAGACACCAGAGGGCCATACAAAGGACTACCTCATCTCAACCTGTGACATAATGTCATGGCTTCAGACATGATGCCAGGGGATGCAGGAAATAGGCCACGTGGATTCCATTACTCTATTTAGTATCAACAAGTGTTACCAATGCCTCTATCATGCAGTGCCTCTTACAAGAATAATGACAATTATTTAAAAATAATCCCACCTGGGCAAGCTACGTTATACTCTCATGCCAGAAGACTCTGTGTCCTCTGAGAAACTGGTAAGCAGCTTCCTTCTGAGTGGTGAGAATGAGGTACCTGACTTTCCTGACTGCCAGGAAGCCCGCGCCATTTTGGAAGCCCAGGCACCACAACCGCGAGCACTCCTGTGGCCCCCACGCCGCCGACCTCCCTGACCTCCCTGACCTCGAGCTCTACATCCCTCTGTTTCTGACTTTCTCCTTGCTAACTCCTTGATTGCAGGTACGCTTTTTGGAAGCCGCCCCAAATGTTTTTCACAACAAAAAGGGGTAGAGCTAAATAAATCCACAGACATGAAATGGCTCAGGAACGGCAGATTCGAGGAGGGCGTGGTGGCCGCTGGAACCCACCGGGTGGGGTGCCGGGACTCAACCTCGGGTGCGTGGATGGGCTTCGGACAAACCTGGAACCACTTGGAAGGGAAGGCAAAATTCACCAGGGATGGACGGCACATTTTCCCCAGACCCACAGCTGGCAGCAGGGTCTCCAAAGGCTAAGAAGCACTGCTCTCGACTCCACAGCAGAGACCGAGAACCGAGAACCGTGGCCACCTACGTGAAGTAAGACAGGGGAGCCAGCGAGGCACAGCCGCAGGCCGCGCCGGCCAGCCCTGGGCTGATACCGCCCGGCGCTTGGGCGCGGGCAGCCGCCGCTCCCGCCCGAGCTGGACCCCCGCGCGGTCAGTCGGGTGGGTGCCGGTCAACCTACCAGGTGGCCTGCTGTAGTTAACGAGGGCCGGCTGCGGCGGCGGCGGCGGCGGCGCCTGGGGCTGCGGCTGCGGTGCGGCGGCGGCGGCGGCGGCGGCTGCTGCTGCATGCCGGGCAACGTCCTCTTCCCCTGGACCGCAAGCTGCAGTGTTTCGGGGAGCGGCTGGCCCCGGGCCAGCATTTTGTAAGCCAGAATCTGCGCTCGCAGCTGATGCAGCTGGACGGGACTGAAAGGCGAGGGACCTCTGCTGGGCTGGCTCATCGCCTGCGGGTCGCCCGGGATGAGGGGCCCCGGCTGGCTCGGGGGCATCTGCGGTGGAGTCGGGCCGCCTCCCGAGAGGGGGCTGGAGACGTGCTCTGGGGCTCCCAAGGGCGACGGGTGCGGCGACAGGTAACCTAGAACAAAACACAAAAGGAGAGATCAGGAGCTGCCCCCGAGGACCCCGAAAGAGAAGCACCCCTGATTCTCTGGATCATTTTCTACAACAGCACCGTCTGAGGGAAATGGAAAGCCTATGTAATCTAATCATTAGGGGATCACACACAATTTGAACTTTATATATATCAAATACATAGAATTTAAACTTTTCTAGTCATCATACTAAAAAGTAAAAGAAAAAGACAAAAGTAATTTTAATCATAGGTAACTGAAATCAAAATACCCCGAATATTATAATTTTAAAAATATTTAGATTAAAATATAAAATTATTAAATACATTAAATTTAATACAAAAATTATTAGAGAGCTATTTTACATTCTCTCTTTCATACTATGTTATGGTACAGTCCACATCTCCACTGCGACTAGCCACATTTCAAGTGATGGACAGCCACACGTGTCCCAGGAAGGTAAACTGGTAGCGGCTAGTGTACACCTATCGGAAGGGCACCAGGGGACAGTGTTATACATTAAAAGCTGCTCCAACCTCGAGAACAGAACCTGAAGGTGTCCGCTATACCACAGTGCGCAATGGGGAGTCTCTACTGGGGATATGACTTGGCTTATTATCATGCACTTTACGAATAACTCGCCATTATTGAGGGCCTCCACTGCTGTAGGCACTGTGTGAGGCACTGGACAGACGATTTTAGCAGAGTTCTCCCTGGAAGCAGAGCCTGATGGAAGGACTCTGCACAGCGGACTGATCCGGAAGGTGTGAGGACCCTGGCCGGAGCGTGCACAGGTGACACAAGGAAGGGCTGGCAGCTGGTAATGGGTGTACAACTATGCCAGACGCTGCAGAGGGCGCCTGACGATTAATCTCACACAGAAGCTCTGGGATATGAGGTACATGACTGGCCTCCAAATTATCCCAGGGGAGGGGTGAAGAAGCTGTTGTAGTTATACTGTTAGGATCGTTGCTCACTGGTTCTGACTCTGGGATCCTTAGTCCCCAAGGACTTTGCCATGTGTGAGTAAAGTGGGCTCAAGGTGAAATGGTAGTGTGGCCAGTGGACACAAGGCTGGTGGGAGCACTGAAATGGGAAGAAGAATTAAAGGGATGTGAGTGGAGTATACACTTTTTCCTCAGTCCTCACAACATCCCCAAGAAGATGTTTCTTAGCATCTCATGTTTTAAAACAAGGAAACCGTGGCTCAGAGAGTACACGAGTTACCCCAGGTCGCATAGTTAGATCTTGGTAGCTCCCAGATTCATTTGGTTCCAAGGTGTGTACTTTTCCCTTAGTCTAATACTAATTTGGTTTTAGAAAAATAAGTTAAAAGCCTGAAAGTTTCAAAAATTTTCTAGAACCATTTACAAAATAATATAAAAATGAGAATAATCTATTTGGGTTATAAGAGATCTAAATGGGAAATTTAAGAATGCTTTTCTGGGGGAAGAAAAGTCAAAATGCATGAAAATGTCAAGCAACTTACTTCAAGAAATGGCCGGGATATCCTGGCCAAAACCTTCCTGGAAAAACATACGACTGAGCATGGCTGAAGGGAGATTCAAGAGGCAGGAGAGGATGGAATGGCTGACTGCAGCCCAAAAGAGTATCCTCAATTCAAACTGAGTGCTAATTAATCAACTCAAAGGTTGGTCCTGAGACACAATGTCAAATGTTAGATTAAAGGTCTTTGCCTTTAATAAATGCACCTGTGTCACAACTATCATAAAGGTCATCACATTGGTGGTTATTAGGAATCTGCTGTGTGTTTGAACCTATGTCAGGGTTTGAGCTGAAACAACTCTGAGCATCCATGTGGAATCACAGAGGCCCAAGAATACGTGACCCACACTGAATGTGGACATACTGTCGCCATTCGCAAGACTAGAGAAAATAAAGGAAGGAGTTACTTTTATCTCAAGATGCCATTTGGAGAGGGAAACAAATGTAGCCCGATCCCCTAAGACCAGGGTGGGTTTTGTGGTATCAGTTGGTGAGATGTAGGACTCCATTCCCCAAATCCCCACTCATAAGGGAGCACAATAATCACACGGCCATTAGGGTTCGCACTGGTCACAAGTTAGCTGAGAAAACGCCCCTGAAATCAGTCTGCAAGACGAGCAGAAAGTTAAACTCCGCGTGTTATTTGTAACAATAAACATGTAGAGAACATTGATAGCATGCACTTAACTCCATCACTGACACTTTTCCTTCTTAAGTGAGGTTAACATGCACCCCTTAATTGTGATGCTGGTGCAAAATGGTAGTTTGTTCCTTATGAAAGCACCTTCTTAACACCTTTTTGGCCGACCCTGCATCTACCAAAGGAGGAAAACCTCCTACTAAAGCTACTGACATTTTCATGGTAGAAAGGATACAACCAAGTATTAAAATGGGTCGTATGTTGCCTGACTTCTGGTCTCTCCTCAGTTCATCAGCGCTTACTCATGATAAATCACAGGAAGCCTAATACAATGGACCAAAACATTAGACAATCCAGTCCAAATGCCACTGTCTAACACTGTTCATCAAATCACTCTTTTAAGATATGAACTCCAGGCAAGGCAATGTTATGAAGATGAGACAGTGACATTAAGCATAATGATGAATTTTACCTCAAATTTGCTAAGAAAGAAATTGAGAGTGGAATAAAAATCACGTTCCTTTTAAAAAAATCATTTTCCAGAATTAATCAATACAACAAAAATTTTTACCTCAACTGTGATAAGAAGGAACTAGGGGTAGGAAAAATTGTTTCCTAAAATTTACAGGGGGTGTTAATAGAATCATTTTATCACAGTAGGACATTAAAAATGTGACAGCATTTTGGCTAAAGAGAGAGATTTCTGTTTTTCTACATGACTAGCATTCCATAAAACTTGCAGAACATCAGAATCTAAATGATGAAACAACGTACTTTCATGATTATCTTGAGTTGAGAGAACAGTGAAGAAACTGACTTGGAGTAAGTACACATCTGTCTGGAGGATGACAGTGTTGATGTAGAATCCGCTTCTCTGGAAATCTGGTTTGATTTGCTCATTTAAAATTAGTCAAAAGTGGCAGTTTCCGTCCCTCGTCTTCAAGGGCCATTATCTCCCCAGTTTCACCTTGCCTCAGAGAGAAGCAATCACCTCTCTCCTTTTAATAATCTTGAACTTCTAAGTGCCAATTTTATATGAATTTTCTCTTCACACACATACACACATACACACACTCAATACTACATACTTGCCTTTGAAGACTTTTTTCTATCCAATGGACTGAAAATAAACAATGTTATCATTGGGACCATAAGGTACACAATTCAGTAGGTATTGAAGGAAACGGCTTTGCCTTTCAACCAATACCTTAAAATAACCTAATAGTTTGCTAGGTAGTTAGAGCTGGCAGTTTTCTGATCAATACCACACCTCTCTGTCCCTGTGTGTTTATAAACGGCTTCCGATGATGGGGTTTTTAAAGGTACATGCCATTATGCAGTGTCAATTCTTTTTAGGTCATTATACACAATAAGACTGCATTATACCACTATTACTTTATTCAAAAACATATTTGAAATAAGTAATTCTCCAGCTTACGAGGCTCTTTACTATTTTAGAGCAAAACATTAAGTGCTAATTATTACATTTAATGCAGACCTCTGCATTTCCAAGTAATTATAACTTAATAAAATTATATAAAAATTAAAATCTATTTAAAAGTGTTAGCTTTTGAACTATAAGTTCACTTTCTACCTAACTGAACAAAATTTACTAAGTAACTAGCTATGTGTTAGACATTGTGCCAAGTGCTGGAGATTCCCAGAAGAGTCATCATTCTAGAAGTTGAAGAAAGGAACTAAGCAATGAAAGAAATGTTAAGATATGTACAAGTAAAAATGCTCAATTATAATTCATGCCTTTCCAGCATTGCATTTTGCAGTTTTCTAGGGCCCCACTACAAAAGGTACTGCAGAGCCAGGAGCAGACAGAGCAAGCAGCTGGCTTTGAGAATCACTGAATATAGCTCATCTACAACTCCAAGCTATTAAAAATGAGATCTGCATTAGCTCTGTGAACACACCTGGCTCTTTAGAATTTAAACGATAAACCTGGATGCGTTGTCTTAATTCATTCTTAACAGTGAATGGGTCAAATTGTTTCTTCCTGTACTGCAAAAAGTCCCGAAGATTCAGACTGCTTTTCTAATAGGGTCAAGATTTTGGGTCATCTGCAACACTTATGTCTGCCTGCCGTCAAAATTCAGATCAGAATGTGGGATACTCAAAAACCTCCTCGAACATTAGTGGAGACACATGCCTGTGTTTCCATGATTTCTGTATATAAATATATATTATGCCGGACACATTTCTCTAAATCCTCAACAGTCAAAAATCTTCCCTCAGGTAGACAGATGTCTGATCATTGAGGGAGAAAAAAACTCACATACACTGAATCACACAAGAATACATACAGTAACACATACATATAGAGCATAAACTTGAATTAGACTATCAACACATTAAGAGTTACTTAGTGCTAGATTAACCATGCCCCTTACAGGTTGAAATGCTCGTCTAATGATCTGGAAAACAGATTACATTGTATTCAAAAGACTTTGAGGTATCTTTAATAGGCCTTCAACAATGAAGGAAAAAGGCACCCAGGAGAAGAGAAAATATACCGTATTTGGCCATATCGCGGGCTGAACTGTGTCCTCTACAGATATGTTGAAAGCCCTAACCCCTAGTACCTGCAAAAGTGACCTTATTTTGAAATAGGATCTTTACAGATGTAAGACGAGGTCACACCGGACGAGGGTAGACCCTCATCCAAAGGCTGCTGTCCTCACGAGAAGAGGGAAATCTGGACACCCGCACAGACACACAGGCAAAATGTCATGGAGACCCAGACAGAGATGAGAATGATAGATCTACAGGACAAGGAATGTCAAGTATTGCTGGCAGCCACCAGAGGCTAGGAAGAAGCAAAGAATTCTTCCCTAAAGACTTCAGAGAGACCACGGCCCTGCCAATACTTGCATTTCAGAATTCTAGCCTCCAAAATCTTGTGAGAATACCATTTCTGTCATTTTAAGCCACCCAGCTTGCGGCAAGTTGTTACAACAGTCTTAAGAGACTAATACAGCCACCCACCAGCAATGACAGGTAGTTCCACGGCCAGAAAAAGTCACCTGACAAAGTGTGAGCGTGTAGTTCAAGGGATATGGGTGGCTCATCTCACCTTCATATCTTTGAGGTCCTGGGGAGGCAGACCTGGGCTCTCCTTCCAGCCCTGTCACTTACTGGATGTGCAAACTTAGGAAAGCAAAGTAAATTCTCTTGAGCTTTAGCTCTTCCATCTATAAAATGGGGTAACATAATTTATCTTACAGGATCAAGATAAAGATTCTGCACCAAGGACATAAACCACTTTGCAGAGTGCTTGGACACAGTGGCCAGGAAAATCAGTAAGACTTTAGAAATAAAATTGCCCACATCAACCATAAAATTGGGTTGGTGGGGGCAAGGGGGAATTTCTACAGGGAAAAGAAACCTGCCGTATGCCTTAGATATGTTCTTAGGAAGCCATAATTAAAATAACCAAGAGGAAAGATGAAAGACTGCCGTAGGGAGCCAAAATCAGGTATGCAGCAGACACAAACCTTGGCTGTGTTGATCCATCGGACTCTGGGGAGGACCCATCCCTGGGTGAGGCGGTCGCATGGCGGTACCCTTCATGGATCCACAGTGGATATCTTCCACGCCCCCCTTGTCATGCATACCATCAATAGGCTGAAACATTTACAGGACATCAGTTAGACACCTCCTTAAGGTACAACGTTTCTAACTGGTGTTTGAAGACCCCTCCCTATAAACTTCAAAATTGTGGCCCAGTCACCTGTTACCCATACCACAGTCATATATTTCTACACCTATATTACATATGTTACTATACATTATGGACATTTCATAGGTGGGAACAGAAAATAAAATTAAAAAAAGACTACACCAACAGGATCAGCAAAAATACCTGTAAGTCAAAAGTTAAGGCTTTCAACAGTTGAAATTTTTTCGGTAATGTCAAAACCTGCAAATAAAAGTGAAGCCCCATTCACAAGGTAGACAAATATAAGCTATTCTTTCACGCCCGTTTAAGGAAGTCCTGAAACCTGCTGTATGCTGAAGTTAGTCCAGTGTCTGAAGGAAGGAAGACGATTTGAAGTGTCTGCGATGATCTATTTCTTGGCAATTTTTCTACATCAGAGGGGAAGGAACCATGGAAAGTTTAAAAGTTGAAGTCAGAAAGTTCCATGGCAGTTGGGAAAAGAGGAACGGACAGGGTAGAACAGAGAATGGGGGTAAATACTGAAAGGGAAAGAGGGTGAAACAGAAGAAACTGTTCTACAGGGGAGCGGAGGACTGAGAAAGGTTAAAGGCAGGGTTTGGGAAAAAATAATAAGGAACACAGGGGCTGGAAACAGGACTCGAGGTCTTGTACCCAACAGATACGCAAAAAATTGCTATTGAACTGACGCTAATCCAATCCAGAACTGGGCCACGGAACATGTGTTCGAGAAAGGAAAAGTCCATTCCTCCCCAAACTGGAATAGCAATTTTCAAAACAGCCTGAAAGGAATATTTCCAGGAGTTTATAGAAACCAAATGACTTCAAGCAAGAAAGTATGAGTGTTTGCAGTTTTGGAGAAAGGAAAGTTAATTTCTGCAGAGTCAAAAGCACGCACTTGAAAAGAGGAGAAATTTACCATAAAGAGGATGCTCAGAAGAAAAATGGGAAGAATTTGGTATAAAGAGTGTCTCTGAGTCTGTTAAATAGTAATAATAGAGAGGAAATCAAAGCAACACAGCAGATGTATTTAGGCCACTTGTTTATTTATTTCCAGTAATGTTGAAAAGCAAAAAGCTGAAGCTCAGAGGGAGACGGAGGAGAAAGACAAGGAATAAAGCTGCCTATAAAAAGATTCGCAGAAAGTGAAGGCATCTGGTCAGCAGGTGTGAACTCCAGGCACTTAACCATGTCCCCACTCAGGGAATTAACTGGGGGCTGGGGGCTGAGGAAAAGCAGGGCAAGAAAATGCAAAACTAGCAGAATGAGAGCAAAACAAAACAAAGAAGAGCACTGATGGGGGTAGAGAATAGGAGAAAATGTGACAAAGATACTAGATGATAAAACAAGGGATCAGGGGGAGGGTATAGCTCAGTGGTAGAGGGTGTGCTTAGCATGCAGGAGGTCCTGGGTTCGGTCCCCAGAACTTCCATTAAAAATGAATAAATAAATAAACCTAATTACCTCCCCCTTCCCTCCAAAAAGCTAAAAAAAAAGTTAGCATTGAAAAAAAAAGGGATCAAAAGATATAATTATAAATAAAAACCACCCAGTGCAAAAGCATCACATGACTCAACACTCATGCATACATTTAACTTTTAAATGCCTAAATAATGATAAGGTTAGCTAAGTAGTTTCCTTCAAAGTTTACCTTTCATTTTGGAGGTGAAACATCCTTAAACCATTCTGAAATTATTTAACCCACCTGGACAAAGGTTTACACGTGACAGATCCGATCTGTAATATAGCTCCCCAATTAATTTAACATGAGCACAAGGCAATTTAATGACTTCAGTGTGTCTATATGTTCAATATGTCTCCCAAAGAATATGATACAGAAAACAAGCAGCTTTCCTTCTTTACGTCCCTGACAAGCTAAGAATGGTGTTTAAAATAAACTAAAAAGGCAGGGAGAGAACTTAGGGATCATCACAGGGCTACCGATCATCATTAAATGACAATGAAGAAGTTTCAGAGTAATTAACAGTGATGATATGATTCTATTATGACATAAGAAAAAAAATTTTTAATCACACCTGAATATGCACACCTGTGCTAACATGGTGTTCTTACTGAAGATGGGGAAAAGTAAGGTGTTAAAAAGCATATACAACAGTCTGTTACCCAGGGTGAACCATTTCTTTTATTTATGTCAATATAGTTTTACTTTTCAAAATGACCATATATTAATATCCTGATTTGAAAATCCTCAAGTAACAAAATTTGTACAAAATGGATTTTCCCTTCTGGGCTCTGATGCCTTCCCTTAAAACTGACCTCCAGTCCGACACAGTCAGAGGCCAGACTTGCTCCTGTTTTAAAGCAGTATCTTCCACCACTTGCCTCCTTTATATCAAGGGGCATCCCCCAACCCTATCCATCTGGAAAACATATAAAACATCTACCAGGCTCATCAGGTGAAAACTTCAGGAAATATACTCATAGATTTCCTTTGGCTACTGCTAGTTCTCAAAGCAAATTGTCACAGAGGATCTTGTCTGCTTTCTCAAAGGCCATTCTCTCTCCTTTGTATCTCCTGCATAGGCATAATGCCAAAATCAAATAAATGGAAGATTATTATAACCTTTTCCAGAAACAAACAACTAGACCTGAGCTCTGCAAAATCAGAGCCCGCTTCCAAAACCAGAATAAAGCTACTTCACAGAGAAAGCAAAGTGAGTTTTTCCAGATTCTCTAGAAGCTATTTTATCTCAGTTAAGCCTTTTTGAAAAAAAAACCTGTAGGAAAGGACTCATTTTCCTTTTACTCTTTGGGACCTATGGGATCTGTTTAGGGAAAAATAATTTTCAATATGTTCATTGGTGGATAATATAAGTTACTTAATGTATAAAGTCGGGGAAAAAAGCAAGACGTATTCACTAATATACTTCTTCACCAAGCCAAAATACCTATAACCCACAATCCACAGAATCTGTCAGGACTGCATATTGTATCCAGTATTTCTTAAAAAGCCAAGGGCTGATCTTCCTGACTAGGGCGACATCTGTAACAATAAAAGAGCCTCAGGATGTATGTTTTTAATAATGTACAAGATAAGACAAAGACCTAGCTTGAGTCTCTTGTTAACAATAGTAGAAAAAGAGGGAGGGGAGTTATCAGGAATTACTAGCCATCCATGACTCAGAAGACAAGACTGGATGGGAGAATGAACTCTCACCTTGTGCATTTGATGCATGCCTTCCTGTGGGAAGTCGGCAGACCCCATCGTCGGCATAGGGTGCGAGACACTAGGAGGCCCAGGACTTGGCCCCATCATACTGTGGACGGAACCTGGGGACGGTCCAGGTCCGGGACTGGGTCCAAGAATTGGTCCAGGAGAGGGTCCTGGCCCTGGCGAAGGCCCCGGGTGGGGCATCGCGCCAGGGTCTGTGGGCGTGGACATCTACTCCTCCTGTCTCGGCCAGGGGGTAGAGTGATACTGAGCTGGAAAGAAGAAAAGAAAAAGGAATGTCTTGAACATGATGTTAAGAACAGAATAAAACAGTTGTTAGTATTTGATGGTGCCATTTCTGTAACAAACATCAAACAGAACTGCCCTGTCTAGTCCAGATGTTGGAGAGAGTATGATATATATACATCTGCCCTCGTCTTTATGAAGACCACTTGTTTAAAAGAAAAAAAAAACAACTCTAAATGATCCCCCAGAAAGATATAAATCATCTAAGATACAAAAAAAAGGCTCACTGGAGAAACTCAAATTTAACACATAAGCAGAATTCTAAACCAAGCTTGAAATTTATTACTGAAGTCAACAGATGCTCTCCATTACTTGGGCACCTTACAAGTCATTAACCCCCCAAAGTCATTAAAATATAGAGCTCCTAAAGAAGTATCCAAACAAGACCCATTTCTGTAAGTCAATGGGTATTCAAAACTTAACAAAGAATTCTAGGGGGGAGGGTATAGCTCAAGTGGGAGAGCACACGCTTAGCATGCATGAGGTCCTGGGTTCAATCCCCAGTACCTCCCCCATTTAAAAAAATAATAATAAATAAACCCAAAACTTAACAAGGAATTCTAGATAGTTAAAAAGGGAAATACACGTTCACAAATTGAGAATGAAAGGGAACTTCCAAACATGAGGAAAATAGGGGTTATGGGAGTCAAACAAGTATGGGTTCAAAAAACCACATACACAATTATGAGCTGAGACTGAAATGCAATAGTACATGTAAAACCATAGCTCTGTGCCTTGTTTCACGTTATACCCTGCGCCTGCCACCTTCACCGTACCAGAAATGATCAGAAGGGATGGTTTACGATGTGGTCCTCCCAGCAGGGAGAACCTAATGAACTGTGGACAGTTGAGGCTAGGGATGCATCCTAGGCCTCTCCGGGGTCTAAGATTCACCAGAAAAGTCACCCACGGCCATTGGAGCCGGGCCCAGCACAGACTAGGTGTGGAAATTCTGGTTTTCCAGCAAAGCAATGTACCATCACCCATGCCGCCAGACTTCTTGGCGTCCCCACTGGGGAGAGTGCCTCCTGGGGTGGGTATGACAATCTTGGATATGAGCTGAAACAAGTAAATAAGCTGTTTTCCACATTCTGGATGGAGATGAAAGACCCCTGATAGTCACTGTGATATATTCTGTCACCTGGGGACACACACCTGTACACACAAAACTTCTGCCGCCAACCTCGCAAATTCCTAAATGGATTTGTTAGCCACTGCTTCATAGCAGGGATGAAATTAGACTGTAGGGGCCCAGTCATCCACAGCAGGGCTCTTTCCACAGTGAAATGAGAGGTTAGAGAAGAAATACAAAAAACAAAACAAACAAACAAACAAAACACAACACATTACTTCCATTCCTAGCTATAGTCACCTCTCAAGGAATCTCTAGAATGTGAGGGCCATGAGGGCAAGGTGTTGCTCTGCTCTCCCTGCCCCTGTATCCCCAGCACCTCCAACCAGCACGTAGTAAGTGCTCAAAAAGATCTGAATGAACCATAGACAAAATTGCAAGGGCGAACTATTCATAGAGTTGATGATTAAAAAATAAAAAAAATTAAGAGAGCAATTGGTGTTTGAGGTACAAAGAAATCTTAAAAGTGGAAGCAAGAATGTAGGCAACATTGATACATGAATTAGGGTGAAAACAGGAAGTGAAGAAAGGCTACTTTGGAGTGATTATAACCAAAGGATCGCTCAAACTGCTTTGCAGATACAAGATGGGACTAAGAGAATCCAGTTCGAGTGGTTTCTAAAACAACAGGGAAGTTTGGAGGGTGAATTATAGCCTTCAATTCACTAGAGAGCCAAATGTTATTATTTATTCTTTGTGATTAACACAGCAGGCGGAACTTTTTTTTTTTTTTTTTTTGCATTCCACCCCCTTACATACACACACACACGTATTTGTTTAGTCAGCATTTCAAATTTAGGAAGCTGACGTCAATTCAGGGTACTACAAGTTATAACGTTCTTTCGTGTATATCAGCACACTAATAAACCCCTTTATTTTTTAGTGAATAAAAGGAAATTGCTTGCTTCCTGTTATGGTTTACCTTGAAACTGGCTTCAGTGGCTTCAATGGCAATACAACACAAGTTTGAACAATGAAGATACAAATGCTCAGCTAGCCTGACAGTCTTACCTTTCATGTTTTCTATTTTAATATATATTATCCCATAATACTAACAGCTTCGTAGGCCGAAAACATATGAGATGGGAAATGGAAAAGTATGGGCATATAGAGGAATGTTAATATAGAAACATGTTCTATAGGAAACTTCTTCGTAAGAAGAGAACCTTCAAAAGGTTGAGCTGAATGTGAATGTGTCCATCAAATAGTGTGGACGAACGCACGAGAAACCAGCTTGGAGAAACAGCATAGTATACAAACGAGGAAAGTTGTCCCACAGCTCACGGATGGCAGCGATCTAGACTATCACACAACTTGAACGTGACACTCTCTGGCTTCTGACTGGGAGCCACCCGTCGGTCTCAGGGCCACCACCAACCCTGGGGTCCCAGGCAAAGCGCTTTTCCTCTGGGGTTTCTTGGCTTCCTCTGGCCTTGGAATCAGAGCATCTCAAGGCTCCCTGCATCTGCCTATCCATGAATCACAGCATCTCCCAGATCCCTGCAATTTTGCCTGTAGCGGGTGCTCATCTGTGAACCTCCAGGGCAGGAGGTCAAGGCTCCAAGTCCAGTATTGGCCAACTCAGCTTCCCCCTCACCCTCCCTTCTGGCATCCTTATGAATCTCGACTCCTTTCTTTCTATTTCAAAGCACCAAGGAAGTGATGCGGATGGCGGGCAGGCAGGGTGAGGGTAGGGGCAGGCACAGGAGGGAGCGGGGAGAGGAGATGACTTGAATAACCTTGCTAGGGCAGGAGTGCTAGGTCTCTCCACAAGACAACACTCAAAATCTATTTTTATTTTGTGTTCGGGGGTGGGAGAGTTTTACGCTGCCACCAATAAGGATGACCTGCTCCATAATTACATGGCCAAGATAATGAAGAAAACATGTCTGTGTGGGGGCAGGTAAAGCATGCAGACCACCCCCTACACTGACATTGCCAGGCCCCCTTCCTCCCCCTAACGCTTCCCTCTACCTCAGACCAGCACTCCCTGAGGGCCAGGCCGCTGTGCTCTTAGCCAAGAATTTTTCAGCAGCACACCCTGCCTTCTTTCATCCTGATCTTGCCTTTACAACTCAGGGGGCGGGTGCTTTTTAAAAATAAAAGTCGTTGGAGCTTCGCACAACTCCAACCACCATAGACATCTTCTCCCAGCCCAAATCTCCTTTCCCTCCCCTTGGCTCAAAGCCCCGGCACCCCCCATCTGCATATTAAAAGGAGTTCAACTTCATGGAATTTTAAGGGTCACCAGTCCAACCATGACAACCAGGACAAGACGTACACCTTACTGTCTTACTCCAATCAACTGAAATGCCAAAGACCCCCTACGCTTGCAGTCATACTTAAGCACACCCATGTGTGCTTCATGATAATTTTAGTGACCAGACTTGAGGACACATTTTGTCACGTCCTCATTTAAAAGATGAGGGCGAGAAAGGGCCACATAGCTTGCCCAAAGTCACATCTGTAAGGAGAACTCTCTTGACTGCCTGTTGGCCGAAAACTGAGTCACTGCCCCATCAGGCAAGCCAGGCCACCTGCCAGCGTGGAGCGCTTTCACTCAGGCTGAGCCAGGATGCACAGGAGTGGAAAGTGGAGGCTGTAGGAACAAAGAAAGAAATGATGGGAGATTTTGGAAGGATTAGGATTTGGCTGTGATCAGATGTTAATTTACGAAGGGACAGAGAAGCAAAGAAGAGCACTTGAGAGAATATGAGGTGGAGACAGTGCTATGAATTAAAGAGGCTGGTGATGTTTCATCAGAGGTCCGGAGGCCCCGTTTAACTCATCTCTTCCCAGCTGTCCTGGCTACCCACTGGGCACAAGGCATGTAGGATGTACAAAAATAACCAGAGGGCTTACCCCAGGGCTCTGCGAGTCTGATGGGGAAACAGGACTTAACCCTAAACAGCAGTGAGAGAAAAAAAATACACGCAAGACCAGAAGGGGTATCACCAAAGTGTCCACTGCAATCACGGGGCAGGAGAGATGACGTACAGTTTCTAGGAGGGTGGAGGCAAGAGAAGGGAGTCAGGGAGGCTTCACGGAGAAGGGGACATTTTGGCTAGGCCTTGAAGTAAAAATATATAATAAATAAATATTTCCTAGAAACTTTTGCTTTCCAGTCCCAGAAAGAGTCTGGGGGAATCCCAAGCACCTCGACTAGACAACACCTCTGAAAGACCTCTTCACCAAAGGTAATCAGGAAGGACAGGGAAAGGCATTTCCTCATTGTATCTCCAGCAGATCTTTATCTCTGCTGGATTTACAGAAAGATTTGGGGTATGAGTTAAAGGTGGAATATTGGAAATAAAAGTTAAGTCCAGTTCGCATCCTTAAGAATAATTCCGTCTTTCCAAAGTTCTCTGTCTGCTATGGAGAATGGTAAGGCTCAGGAGATAATTAAGGTAGGAGTTCTTTTTATGTCTGTTTGCTGACTCAGACCGTCTCCCCTGACCTGAAGGGTTTCTTGTTTTCTATGCAGCTGCTCTCTATAAATGAATTGATAATTCCCCCACGAGAAGTAGCAACATTTCTAGAACTGGAACACAGGCACCGCTGTTCTGTTCTCCACGGGCGAGCAGAGTATCAGTGAGAACAGCAATGAAGATAAAGGAAAGAAATCTACCAGAAGTTTCTTTTTAAGAAGGCAACTACATAAGTTTAAAAAGCTAAAGATCGAATTGTTCTCAGAAACAACAATTAGTACATATATGAAAACTAAAAAAAAGTGCAGTGTACTGTATATATGTATTTACATGCAATATATTGTGTATGTGCAGTCAAACTGTAATAATTCTGCATAATAAAACTGGAAAAGAAGAAAAAAAAGCA